TCTAACAAAGCAAGTGATATAACACGTGTATATATATATATATAGAGAGAGAGAGAGAGAGAGGAGAGAGAGGCATGTGAAGAAGAAGGTTATGGCTGCATCCAGACAGCTGGATGATGAGCAGCCATTAATGAGGGCTCCTTCCTTCCACTCCATTTGTGAGCATTGCAATTATCAGACACTCCACTTTTACACAGATGCAGGCCCCCTCTCCCTTTCATCCATCTCTTCCCCACGTGATGGGCTGTTCCAGAGGAAAAAAAAAGAAAAATAGAAATCTAATTACAAGATTTAGTTTGTAAACTACAAACGAGATTTTATAATTACAACCGAAAGTAGTATTTATCATTTTTTTTATAAAAAAATTTAGTTGAGTTGGGTCTTGAAGACTTACTGGAGCCATGGCATGCCTCCAGATTGAGAGACTGCTTACAGAAGTATTTACATATCACTTATGAACAAAGTCTTCACATCGATAGTAGGATTTGAACTTACGACCTTATAAGTTATAAGCTGACTCCTTGCAAATTGTACCAACTCTTGTTTGTCTCATATACTAATCTCGTATAACATAAAATTACTTAAAATAAGTCAATCTAGATACCCTATAAATCTAGGCCAAAAAAAGTAGGATACTGAAAATTGCAATGATTATTCAATTAATTGAGGTAAATTTAACTATAGTTGAACTAGAGTCAACACAATCACGACTAAAAGAATATAACTAATTATACAAAAATATTCATATATAACCTTAAAAATACAATATTTAAATAAAAGGCGTTAGAATATCCATGTATAAAGGGAAAATGATAAAAAAATAAAAAAGTTGAAAATTACCAAATATCAAATAAAAAAATGTCAATAAAAATTTGTTATCATATGCAAATTTAGTATTGTCAATATTAAATAAATTGTAGTTACCAAACCTGATCTAAACTTTAATAATCTTCAGCTTTTTTTATATTTTTTTTTTCATGTATAAATTACATATAATGCAATAAAATAGAGTTACTAGACATGACGTAATATTAATGATGTTGATTCTGGCTCAGTAAGAAGGGAACAAAAGATAAATATAGACGAATTCATTGATTTATTGGTCTAAACAGCTGATCCAAGTTGGGTTTTAATAATAGAGGAAAAGAAATTTCTTTGCTCCATGAAGATGTATTAGTTGATACTCTATCGAAGTGTAAGTTTTATTTTCAATATGAGGATTTCATTATTCATGAACAATTTGCAAGTACATCCCTATATTTAAATCCGGATGCATGCTCTAATCTTTACTATTCTTTAGTACTGAATAATACTATATATACAGATCTTAATATAAAAGCTATTTGATTAATTTAAATAGATTGAGAAAGTTTGTTAAGTTAGTTATTTGTAATAAATATGTATTATTTTCCGTAGAATATTTTTACTAATCATGTATATTAGTTAGAACTATCATTTGATAAAACTTTTAACATATGTAACTACTACAAGGATTATTTTTAAAAATATATATAAATATGAAAGACAAAATGAATTAAGATATTATATTTAGAACCAGATTTAATGTCAAATTAGCTCTTATATTAAGAATCAGAAGTAATAATTTACAGATTTTTAGATTATAACAAGAGAAAGTGTAATAAATAGGAAGGACATTTAATGCATTAGTAGGGATACATAAATGGATGTAAAAATTGTTGGATTTTTTAATTAATGTCGTTATCATAATTGCGCATTTGGCAAACCTAGATGGTTTCTAATTTGGATTGGAATTAATTAATGTGGACGCACGATTGAGGAATTAATAAGAGAGCTGAGGAATTTGGGTGTGCTCATGTGAAGAACAGAAAAGAAAGAAAGCAGCTTCAATTAATTTGTTTGCATTATTTATTTGTGTTGGAAGCAGTTATTTTCTAATATGTCACTGCCATTCTCGTGAATCAAATTATTTCATATAATGACACCTTCTTTTTTTCGTCTCTTAATTAATGTCTACAACTCAAAAGATAGTCACCATTAAAAGAAACTTCATTTTTCCTTTTCTTTATTTGATTTTAAAAAAAAAAAATACTCTTTTTTATTCAAGATATAAGCATCAAAATTTTGAAGGGGTCTTTTTTCTTTTTTTTTTATAAGCATCACTTTAGATTTGTTTGATCATTTAATACATTTTTTTATTTGTATTCCTAATTAATTATATGCCTTTCTCATCTTTTTTTTTTTTTTACCACTTCTCTCTCATTTCTTTTTTAATTCATCTTCTCACTCACTTATTCTCTACATAATAAGAATATTTTAACAAAAAGTTATAATATTGTTATTTTCTCTAACCAATTTTAACTAACTTTTTTGAATAGTGTAAATTAGTTATTTGATGTTTATATTTTGAACAACAAAAATTAGTTATGTAGCTTTTTTTAATCATATTTACTGAATTATAACTCGGTTTTTAAATTTTAATTTGGTGCAGCTCAAATTCTATAATTTTAACTCAATTAAAGTTCAACTTTTAAATATTAATTTGGTGCATCTTGGTCCTATAATCTTAACATTCATTAGTCCATAAGTTTCAATGAATAACTCTATAACCCTCATAATTCAATGTAGGGATCAATATTTTTAAATACTTCATGTTATAAGCAGTGAATTTCAATAAAGTTAAAATTTTAAAAACTGAGATTGAGTTGAAATCTAGAGACTCAATTATAATCGAGTCAAAATTGGGGGAACAAATTATTTATTTTTCTCCTTATGGGCATAAAAGTAAACTAAACTATCCATTATTTATGATCATATTTGATTATTGGCTTATTTATAAATTAAGTTGTATTAGGTCTCAAATAAAAGGTAAATCTCTCAAATAAATCTTTTGTATTAAGACAGATATGTTTTGTTTTTTTTCTTTCTCTCTCTGTTTTTTCCCCCAAAAAAGCTCCATTAGTTTTTTGACCTGAAAAAAAAAAAAACTTCATTAGTTATACTTTAGGGATGATAAACAGGGGCAGACAAGGGAGCACTGATGGGACAAGAGAATGATACTCCTTTTGATCATCTTATATATTCCTCTAATATTACGTTTCAATTATTTATGCATGCAGTATGAAAACTTTCATTCCCTGTCAATTTATGCAATTTTCAGCAACATATGTAATAATATAAATTAATCAAAACCATAACAAAAAACTCATCATTATGAATGGATACAACAATTCCTTAAAATGCAGATCAGATACAAGCACAAAAATAATCAACAAGACCATATTTTAAAGACAATGACAATTGATTTAGCTTGAGTAGTTTTGTTCAACTTATAGTTTCAATTAATTATTTATGAGGCCTTAAATAACCACACAAAGAATATTATTCAAAAATTTGATTTATTTTTTAAAAAATCAATTTCAGATTTTAACTTTAGCACCTGAGAAGTTGCACTTCCTAGCCGATTTATATTAATTTTTAAAAATAACTTTCAAAATGAAACCATATATACCTAAAACTAGAATGTTCATGTCAACAGCATAAACATTAGCTTACTTATTTTTTTTCAAAAATAAGTTTAACTATTTGAAAATAAAATATTAAACAAGTAATATACATATTTTTCACTGCATAAATTTTGAGAAATTAATTTTCTAGAAAATATGGATAATTAAATGAAAAATTGAAGTTACATGAATGCCGTCCTTGATTCAAAATACTACCTCCCATTCTTAATATAAGATTTACTTAATTAGTTTGTGTAGATTAAGAAAAATAATTAAATTAATTATTTATTAAAAAATATGTTGATTTTTCTAAAATAATCTCTTGATGCAAACTCTCTTAATATCTACAATTAATAGATTAGTTTGAATAAATAAGAGGAACAAAATAACTTCAATATTATATTTAAGACTAAAATTTAATTTTTTTAATTACCTTTTATATTACACATTGGAGCAGTGTCCACAAAAGCCGTTATAGGTAATGAAATTCTATTCGTTATGTGATACACTGTACTTAAAGGCCGCGACACAATCAATTGGCTTTTGCAGTCATTCATTATCCATTCAGTCACGAAACACGGCTTACATTATTTAATACTGTCCCAACCCTTTTCTTTACTTTTGTTTTTTGATGCCTCTTTTTTTTTTTTTTTTGTAAAAATTACTAATAGATCTCTGTCACAAAACAAAACATCTTTGAAGAAGTACAACTTATTTTCAATAATTATAACTATTTCTTTAGTACGAGGCTAGCATGTAATGACTAATTCTTTCACATTGTGCATTTTTCAAAGAAATTTTAAGGAAAAATTACAATTAAAAATCCTGAAATTTGAAAAACACAGATAAAAACCCCTGACAACTTCACTGTGACTTTTGATAATAATAATACTCCTCCGGTCCTTATTATAAGACCCAATTTGACTTTTTATTTGGTCCTAATTATAAGACCCAATCCATTTTGTCTCTTATATTTATACATTTTTTTCCAAGATAATCCTTCTAATAATGATAGTTTTAGCCAATATACTTAATTAGCAAGGATATTTTAGGAATGACAACACTTATTTATTATAAATAACCAACTTAACTTACTTCCTTAATCTCCTCAAATAAGTCAATTGGGTCTTATAATTAGGACCGGAGGAGTATATCACAAAGTTATGAAAACCCATAACAAAATTGTCACAGGTACTTATCTACGTTTTTTAAATTCTAGGATTGTTTTTTACAATTTCCCCAAATTTTAATGCTTCATACACGCCATTAAGAATTGAACCCGGACTAAACGCTATATCTAATCCATTTTCAGCTGCAGACAAATGTTTTTCTTGCATATAGATGAGGAAGAGCTACATCACATCTAATTCTTAATACAAATTTCAAGTATTTCTAAGACAACAAATTTTGAAATGAGTAGTCTTTTTCAATAATTTTTTTTCTTTTTATTCACATGGTATTACTGTAATTAAAATTGCCAAACAATTAAATCAGAATAATCAGACAAAAAAAAAAGAAACGAATTCAAGTCCTTTTTAAAAAAATAACTGAGGATCTTCACACTCACAATAATGCAAGATGTACCGAAAGTGTCCAAAAATTAGTTCTGAGAACATATGAAGCAATAGTAGACATTATTTCATTTGCGAAAAAATATATGGAGAAAGCGGGTTGACCCGTGAACTGATATCGACCCGGTTCGAGGCATCAAGGCAACGCGCAGCCATGGCGCGAGAATCCCAGTCGCGATCTGTCCTTGTCGAAATCCAACAAGAATCCTTGTTGCATCAGATTCCCCATCACAGAAAACCCGGATCCTGTTTTCACGGGTTGCATTGCCAAGCACATGACCCGATCCGCCACTTCCAGGAAGTAGTTCCTTGGCGGCGGCGACAGCACCGACTTCCCCTCCAGCCGGAAGCTCAGCTTTGGGAAGCTCGGCCTCCGCACGCCGGAGACGTTCACACAGAGATCGAAGCCCAACTTCAGCTCCATCGATACTATCGGAAGCTTAATCTTCCGTCGGAACGCAGCTAAAACTTGGCGGTAAGCAGGCTCTGCTAGGAAGCTTAAGGTCGTGCCTGAGTCGACGACCGTCCCGCCGTTGCCGAGTTTATCGATGGACCAAACGGAAGGGTTGATCGGTAATTTCGCGCCGTTAACGGAGACGCTCTTAATGCCAATGTAGTAAAAGGTCGGAGACAGAGGGTTGGTAAGTAATGGTGTGTAGCTTATTCTAGAAGATTTCGAAACGGCACCGTTTTCAGCGCCGCCGATGGTGAGGTAGCTTGTCGGAGGCGGTGATATGGTAAAGTCGAGAAGACAGTAAGAGAACCTGTTCCCGAACCGACGACCTAATTGTGAAGCGAAGGAGATATAGCCTCTTCCCAAACCCATAACCCCTTGAGCTCCATTGAAGCTCGCACCAGTAACACTCGGCCCGGAAATCCGAAAGCCGCACCCGAACGCGAGATCTCGGAGCTTCGCTTCCTTCCCGGAGCTGGTATTCAACGTCGTCGTTTCCTTCGAGAAGAAACCACTCGTCGTCGACCCGTCAGCGTAAGAGTACTCGTATCGACACGGGCTGTGTAATATAGTATGGTTGCAGGGAAAGCCGGGTCTCGGGCGGGGAACGAGCCGGCAGGCCGGGTCGTAGCAATGGTGAGGCGAGAATGTGGAAGAATGACGAGCAAGGAACGCCGATCCCGGACGGTAGCCAGAGCATTTTCTGCAGGCGGAGCACTTCACCCAAACAAGATCGCTTCCGGTATCAGCGACGAGGAGGAGGCTCTGCGGCGGGGAGCCGATTCGGAGATTTACAAAGTACTGGCCTGAGCCAGTGGAGGCACCGGAGATAAGGGGAGACTTGACGCTGTGGCGATGGCCGTGGAGGGCGGAGAACAGGACGGAAAGACGGTGCGTGTCGGAGGAGAGAAGTTGAGCTGGGGAAGAGAAAGAGTTCTTGCGGAGAAGAGGAAGCTTGAGATAATCCTGTGAGGTACTACGAGAGTTGCAGACATGGAAGGTGGCGAAGAAGAAGAAGATAGGGAGAATGAGTGAGGAGGGAAACGCCATTGTTGGAGACAGAATGGGAGGGAGAGTGAGAGTGGCGAGACAGAAGAACGCGTTTTGAGGCTGGGAAAGCCGTATTCTATACGTATACGAATACGGCAAATTGTATTATTCGGGTTAGTTTTATACGATTAACAGTACGAGTCTGCTTTGACCGTTTGACTATAGTAATTGAGTTTTTTTTTTTTTTTCCCCTGGACTTGTTCGTTTCTGAGCGGCAAGAGGATCGTTGCCTGTCGTGGGCCACGCCCATGCAATAGTTTGGCTCTATCCGTTATAATTCAACCAATCATACCACGCCAGGTCATATGTCCAGCTGTAATCAGTAAATATGTTGTAAAGGTGTAATTCTCATTGTGATCTTATCTTTCAGAGCCAACTAACATCCCAATCTTTTTACTAGTGATATTTTACCTATTAAGTGTTTTTGGCTGCATTTGAGAAATAAGATTATGGCTAAAATTACAAAAAAAGAATTATTAATAAAATTGCACAACTTAAAAGATCATAGTATTAGATGCATATAAGAAATAAGATCAATGTTAAAATTACACATTTACTTTATGTTATATTTAAACAATTTTTAAAGTGTTTATTTTCAACTTTTATCTTTTTATTTCCCAATGAAATGGTTTATTATGCGATGCTTTTTTTTTTTTTTTGCTACTTGTAATTATCTTATTAAATGTATTATTAGAAATTAAATGTGTGTACTTTTCTCAATAAAAATTTAAACCTTAATTTTTCACGTTGGGAGAAATTTGTTATTTTTTTTTCTCTTTTGAGAATATGTTCATAAATGAAAAAAGTTCAAGGCCTGTAAAACTTTATAAGATCATCTTTCTTAGTTTCTTGTAAATGATGCAATTAGTCCGCCACAAAATGAGATTTTCAAATGGATGATGCAACCTTTAATAAAAGCTAATTTAATATTTAATTTAGTTCTAAATATAATATTTCAATTCATTTTATCTTTTATATTTATCTATTTTTTTCAAAGCAAGCATTGTAGTAGTTACATGTGTTAAATGTTCTATCAAATAATAGTTCTAGCTAATACACATAATTAGCAAAAATATTCTGAGAAAGCGACACATATTTATTACAAATAACTAATTTAACAAACTTTCTTAATTTAATTAAATTAGTCAACTGACTCTTATATTAATGGTTTGAGATAGTAATTAAGAATTCATTCTAGAAATTAACCTATTTATTTCTTTTTGCCTACTGAATGTTTATGTAATGTTGATATTTTAGCATGAAACTGGCAACTTTTTTCAAAATACTGATTTTGGTAACAAACACTAAAGAGTGAGATGTAAATATTTTCTAAAAATTATTTTTGCATGAGAAGCATGTCAGCGGATGTCCATGTTGGATCAATTCCACATGCTGGAATCCCATTTCATACAAGACTCAGTCTCAATTATTTCTTAATATTTTTGGCGCAGCCAACTTAAATTCCATATCTATTTCTTAATATAAAAGATAATTAATCCATTTTAAAATATTAAAAAAATTAGTTATTTATAACAAATAGATATTAAATTTTTTAAAATATTTTTTATAATTATATTTAAAATTAAAGTAGATTAAGATTTTATATTTAGAATCAAAATAAATTTTTTGTCTGACAATTCTTCTAAGTACCGAAGCTAATAAATATAAAATGTACCAAATCAATTATAAATTTTGATTTACACCACTCAATTTGCATTATTATGTTATGAACCTTACATCTAGTTTCATTGCAAATTTTGTTGCCCTCAATTTGCCACTCCATCTAGTTTCTTTATATCGCTTCAAATATTGGCTCTTATGTTTTCATAAGGACGATTTTATTTTTTTGACCTGTTATTTTCATAAGCATTTACGGTTAAATGTAATAGTATTAACTTCATTTATGCGGCGTTCACATCATTAGGTTATGTAGCTGTTGATATGGCTAGCTGAATGGGGAAAAAACGTAAATGAATTGTTATCAAACTAAAAGGAGTAATAATTCCAGCGAAATTCCAAAACAAAATTGCTCTTAAAGAAATTTAAAGGATCAAAAGGTTTCACTCAAGAGCGTTAAGTACCTATAAGTTTGTTTGGATGCAAATTTATCCTAAAATTTAAAATTATAGTAATTTTATCTCTTATTATTAAAAATATTAACAGTTAACGATCAATGAAACATTAAATTTTTTAATCATGAGACAAAATTGTTATAATTTCAAATTTTTGGGATAAATTTGTACTAAAAAAACTTTTAGGTGTTTAATGCTCCTTAATAAAAACTTTCAAAAAAAATTTCCCCTATAACCCAAATTTAAAACAAACATTTCATATTAATCCACGTGGATGATGCTTCCATGCAACTCCACTTTGAATTTGCATGGAAGAAAGCGTCTTCGTTGTTCTGCGTGTATGCCAAAAACACTAAACTATTATTAATTAACATTAAAAAAAACTAGTGATGGTCTTGAGATCTTTGTGATTAATTAGATGCTATGGTTCGCGTGTGAGGAGGATTAAGGTTGAGATTCTATTAATCACTGTATAAATTATCTATATTGATTTGAATGGTCCTAATTTAAAATTTTTAACTAATTATTTTTAAATAAAAAACTATTTTTTAAAAGAATGATAGTTAAAAGATTATCTCTATATATTCTATAAACATTAAAATAATTATTTTAAATAAATAAAAATAAAAAATTAAATCTGAACTATCTAAATGAGATATGAACACTTTAACTTGATGAGTTGAGCATCGAAACTGGTTTCAAATAACTAAACTATTATTAATTAAAATTAAAAAAAGTTAAGAGATTATTTTTAATTAATTATTTTTAAATAAAAAACTATTTTTTAAAAGGATGAGAAGAATTATCTCTATATATTCTATACACATAAAAATAATTATTTTAAATAAATAAAAATAAAAAAATAAAATTGAACCATCCAAATGAGATATGAAATTTTAGATTTAATGAGTTTAGAGTGCTCATCAAAGTGACGACCATCGAAACTAGTTCCAAACAACTAAACTATTATTAATTAAAATTTTAAAAAAAAAAGTAGTGATGGTTTTGAGATCCTTGTGATTAATTAGATGCTATGGTTCACGTGTGAGGGGGATTAAGGTTGAGATTCTATTAATCAATATCTAAATCCCTCAAAAGTTTATTTCGTACATTTTAAGGCTGACTAAGCTCTGTCCTTAATTGATTTCTTTGTCAGTGTCTTGTGCTTAATTAATTTAAACCAAAAACATGTCGGCGTCTTTGCTTAACTCTGCTTTTATTATAACAAATTAATAAATAGGAATTACTGCAGGCCTTCTGGTCATTATTTAACGATTGTTGAAATTAATTAAGTAGCTTTGCATAGATAACCCAGTACTGATTAGCGAAGTTTTCAAACTTGAGAGTCCAAACAAATTCGTGATAAAAATGTAAATTCGTATCGTAAATTCATAAGAGTTTACTTTTATTAATAAATTGGTAATAATGATTAAAATTAAATTCATCAACTTTCATAATTTAATATATTTAACAAAAAAAATCTTTATAAATTCACATATAAAGTTACTAAACATACCTAAATCCAAAATTTATTACGAGTTTAAAAGAAATTGACATGATTTTGTAAGCTAAAAAAGTAAAAATAATAAATTGGCGAGTGAACCCTTAAGTTTGACTAAATTTACAACTAATGAGTTTAAGTGTTACTCGATATAATTTTGTAAGTCGAAAACGTAAACTCAGAGAGTCAATTCGAAAGTTTACAGCAATACTAGTAGCCTAGAAACTGTGTGATAATAATTTACTCCCTTTTGTTTTTTTTCTCCCTTTTTAATCATCTATTAGAACTTTTAATTAAATCACAGAGATAAAAAAATGAAAAATCACAATTAGTTAAGTGTTGAATTTTTTTTTTGAAATACCATAACATTTAGATTACTCTTAATTATACTCCGGTCCTCTATATAAGCAACAAACAAAATCAATTAAAATTGTTGAAGACAATAAATATGTAAAAAAAATCTATTTCTTTTAAAATATGCCATTATATATATAGGAACTAGATGAGAGAGAATAATAGGGAAAAAAAAGGTAAAAAAAAGTATGGCGAGCAGCTACACGTAATCAATTAGGAATAAATTTTTTAAAAAATACATTAAATGTCCTAACATCTCTAAAATATAACTTATAAGAAGGATTCCATTTAAAAAAAAAATTGTAAGTTAAACCACAGAGAATATATTCACATTAATTTCTTTCACATCTACAGCAATCACAAGATCAAAGAGAGAAGCATGTTCGCAGAATGCATTGATAAAAGCATTTTTGGAAACTAGTTTTATCAATTTCTTGATATAAATCATTAGGAGAATCCCATTTAAATTCAACTAAAATATGAAAATTTAAAATCAGGCCTACACCTTAAACAAATTCCTAATCAGGCCAAGAGGCCATTAGAGATTTATAAATATTGTTAAAAGTCTAAAATACCTTCTATGATTATAATATAAGCTGCTATCTTTATATTTTCCTTCCTCACAAATTTTTTTCTTGAAATTTTTTTATCGGATTTTCCTGAAATTTGAAAATAGTAAATCTTTAGCATATGATAGGAAATTAAAACCCATTCCTTGATTCACATTAATAATTACTCTAGTACCATCATCAATGTAATAGTATAGGTCACTAATGGATTTTAATTTTGGATGAGTTTAATTTCTGCTCAATTTTAATATTGATCCATCCTCCATATATTTAATAATATATACACATATAATTTTTTTTATTAAACCACGTACACTTTTTTTTTTTGATAAAATATATGTGCATTGTAAGAGTGGAAAACTTATTCAAACGACGAACTTTTTACAAATTTTAGATTGAGGACAGTGTTATAATTTATTATTCTCATATTTTAGGAAAAAAATCTGTAAGGGAGAAAAATATCAAAGTATAAGCTCATATTTTAATTATAGAAGGGCATTTGATCTTTTAGCAATATTCATAAATTTCTATTAGGCCTTTTGGCCTAATTAAGAATTTATTCAAAATGAAAG